ATGCATACTTATAATCCCCCTCAGAGGCTGAGGTATGAGGATTGAAAGTTGGAGGCCAGCCTCAGCAACAGCAAGACCCTGTCTCAAAATAAAAATTTGAAAGGGCTGGGAATGCAGTTCAATGATAGAGTACCCCTGGGTTCAGTCCCCAGTACCTACAAAAAAATTTAAAAAGAAATCTTAGCCAAAACCATGGTCACTAAGGTTTCCTCCTAAGTTTTCTTCTAGAAGTTGTATATTTTTAAGTTTTACATGATATATGATTCAGTTTAACATAATATCTCTGCTGAAATTAAATGTCCATACAAATATTTCTGTTCCGTTTATCTACATGCTTACTTTTATGCCAATACCAAAATATTTTAATACAGTCCTTTACAATAAGTCCTGGGTTCAGGTAGTATAAGTCCCCCAAAGTTATTATTTTGGGGAGAACTAGGTCCTCTGAATTTCCATATAAATTTTGAATCAGTTTGTCAATTTCTACAAATAAAACCTTCTAAGATTTTGATTAGTAATAAATAAAATTTGAGAGTTGACATCATGAGAATATTGAGTCTTTTGTGGTACATCTTTCAATTATTTAGGTTTTTACTTTCTCAGCAGTATTTTAGTTTTTGGTGTAAAATGTCATACATCTTTTATCAAACATATCCCAAAATCTTTCATATATTTATATTGTAAATCATATTTTTTATTTTCATTTTCCATTGTTTGGACACAACTGTTGAGACCTTTTTTGTAGAGTTCTTAGGATTTTCTACTTAAACAAGCATTTCATCTGCAAAAAGGAGCAATTTTATTTTTTCTTTTCCATCTGTGTGCTTTTCATGCTTATTGCACTTGCTAAAACCTCCAATACAATATCAGATAGAATAGGTGAAAGGGGACACCCTTAATTTGTTCCCAATCTTAGGGAAAAAGCATTTAATCTTTCACCATTAAGTAAGATATTAGCTATAGGTTTTTATATGTCCATTGTCAGGTTAAAGGAGTTCCTAAATATTCCTGGTTTGCTAAAGTTTTAATCATAAATAAGTGATTGGATTTTTAGAGACATTTTCTGTATCATTAAAATGATCTTATGGTTCATTTGTTTTTAGTCTGTTAGTGGCACTGATTTTTCCCTTATTTTTTATTAAGGCATAACTGACACACAGTAAAATTTTTGTTGTACAGATCTGTGAGTTTTGACAACATGTGCCATTGTGTAACCACCACTACCACCAAAATATAGAACAGACATCCCCCAAACAACTTCTCTTCTTCTTTGTAGTCAACTTCTATATTCCTGGCCCTTAGCAAACACTGTAATTATTATTTCCCCTCATATGAGCATCATAAATAGAAACATAATATGGCTTCTTTCACTTAGTATAATGCATCTGAGATTCATCCGTGATGTTATTTGTATCAGTACTTTGTGACATTTTATTTGCTTTACTGAGTAGTATTCCAGTGTATGGATGTACCACAGTTTGTTCATTTTTTCCCCCATTTTTTGACAAATATAAATTGTATTAGGGTTTTCCAGAAACACAAAACAAATAGGCTAGCTATAGACATGTGAGAGGGGATTTATTGGGGGAATTGGCTTACATGATTATGGAGGCTAAGAAGTTTCACAACAGTTCATCATCTGCAAGCTGGAAACTCAAGAATGCCTGTAGCATGATTCCATCCAAGTCTGAATGCCTCAGAATTAGGGAAGCCAGTAGTGTAACTTCTCAATCCATGGTTAATGATCACAGAGCCTGGAGTCCTCATGTCCAAAGTCAGGAAAAGAGTATCCCACCTCCAGGAGAGAGAGAGAGAGGAAATGATTCTTCCCTGCCTTTTTTTTTCCTGTCTGAGACACTAGCCAATTGGATGGTGCTTACCCATTTTGAGTGTGGATCTTACTTAGTTCAGCTACTCACGTACCAGTTTCCTATAGAAACATCTTCACAGACATTCGCCAAAATAATGCTTTACCTCTTCTCTAGGTATAACTTAATCCAGTCAATTTGATACTTAAAATTGATCATCACATTAATAAATCTGCTATTAAAAACCTCACAGGTCTCTGTAAATATTGGTAGTCATTTCACATGGGTAAATACCTAAGAGTATGAATGCTGGGTTATATGGTAAGTGTATACTTCACTTCCTAAGAAACTGCCCAATTGTTTATCAAGCTGCTCAATGCTGGTATATAGAAATACAATTCATTTTTATATTTTAACTTTTATCTATGACTTATTACTCTGTTATCATTTTCATAGGTTTTTTGAGATTTTCCATGTAGACAATCATGTCATTTGTAAATGCAGTTTTATTTCTTCCTTTCTAATCTGTATGCCTTTTAATTATTTTGCTTGCCTGGTTGCACCTGCTAGGACCTTCAGGATAATGTTGAATAGGTGTAGTGAGAGTAGACATGCTTCTCTTCTTCCTAATCTTAGGGTGAAAGCATTCAGTCTCTTACCATAATGTATGATGTTAGCTATAGATTTTTCACAGATGCCCTTTAAGGAAATTCTTATCTATTATTGGTCTGCTGCAAATTTTATCATGAACGGATTTTTTTTCATTGTGCTGGAGATAGAACCCTGGGTCTCACACATGCTAGGCAAACTATACCACTATACCACCAGCCCCCATGAATCATTAAATCATGCCAAATACATTTTGTCTCTAATTCTTTGATTTGGTGAATTATTTTGAATGATGTTCAAATGTGTATCAGCCTTGAATTTCTTGGATAAACTCCATTTGATCATGATATATTGTTCTTTTTATGTCTTGTTGAATTCAGCAATATAACCCAGTTCCTGACTCAGCTTAGGAGTCTTTATTTTTCGGTTGTATGAAAATGATATATATTCAGTAGAAACTACTTTGAATTTTGGATTTTAACTTTCAGGGTGCTAGAGATACACAGTAGGATACTTTTCTGTTTTGTAGTACTGGGGATTGAACTAAGGGCCTCATGCATGCTAGGCAAGTGCTCCGGTGGGATATTCTTTATGATACTAGGCAGCAGCAGCAAGCTTCAGCTTTCAGATAGCTGTGTGATCACAAATGTAAATGACCCCTCTATATGTACTCTCTTGCCAACATTTTTTGGATGTTGTTTTATATTTTCATATTCCATCATGCCTACAGAACACCCATGTTTAGCTCCTGTATCTATACAGTCATTTTGTTTTGTGTTTCCAATACAGGATTCAATAAATTATATGAGATACTCAAAACTAGAGATCTATTATTAGGGGCATAGACATTTAGGATTACTTGACCCCCTCACTATTATAAAATGAACTTTGTTATCTCTGATAATATTCTTTATTCTAAATCTATTTTTTCTGATATTAATAAACCCTTTCAGCCTACTTTTGACTAGTGTTAAGGTTTGTATTTTTTACCCCTTTAATTTTAACTTATTTGTATCTTCACTTTAAAAATATGTTTTTTATAGGCAGCATATAGTTGCTTCTGTTATCTTCTTTGTTGATTTATATGTGGTTTTATTTCACAGATTTGGGTGCTTAGTTATTAGATACATAAACATTAAGGATTAAGTTCTCTTTTGAAAAATTGATTCCTTTGTCATGATGAAATGATCATTTTAATCCCTGATAGTATTATTTCATAAGAATCCTACTTTATTTGATATTAATGTGGCCACGCCAGCTTAATTTGATTATGATTAGCATGGTATATCTTCATCAAAGATGGAAATGTTCTCAGGAATATGTACTGTTTGTTTTGTTTTGGGTTTTTTTGATGCTGGAGATTAAATGCATAGCTTTGTGCATACTAAGGATGCTGTTTCACTGATATACACTTCAGCCCCTAAGGTTACTTATTTTTTAAAATATTTATTAGTTGTAGATGGACCTTTATTTTATTTATTTATTTATTTATATGTGGTGCTGAGAATCAAACCCAATGCCTCATACATGCTAGGCAAGCACTCTACCACGGAACCACAACCCCTACCCCCAAGGTTACTGTTTTACAAAAGTGACTAAGGAACCAGGTGTGGTGGTATGTGCCTGTAGTCCCAGCTACTTCCGAAGCTGGCTGAGATTATCACTTAAGAGTGGACAGTAGAGCAAGACCCTGTCTCAAAATATAAGTAATAAAAAAGTGATTTTAGCAAGTTATATTTTCTTTCTTTAAATTCCCCTTAATGTACTTTAAAAGTAAGACTATATATCTATTATTAAATGGAATAGATACTAGAGTCAGGTGTGGTGGCAGACTCCTGAAATCCCAACAATGTGAAAGACTGAGACAGGAGGATTGCAAGTTCATGGCAAACCTTATTAACTTAGTGAGATCCTGTCTTAAAATTTAAAAAAAAATTATAAGGGCCTTGCATGGTGGTGCATACTTGTAATGCCAATGACGTGGGAGACTGAGGCAGGAGGATCACAAGTTTGAGATCAGCCTCAGCAACTTAGCAAGTCCCTAAGGAACTTAGCAAGACCCTGTCACAAAGTAAAATAAATAAATAAAATAAAATAAAAATGTCTGGGGATGTGACTCGGTGGTTAAACACCCCTGGGTTCAATTCCTGGTACCAAAAAAAGTGGGGTGCTCAGTGGTAAAGCATCCCTGGGTTTAATCCCCAGTACTGTAAGAGTAAAGATAGATTAGACAGATAAATTGTCTTCAATTCTATATTATGAGTAGTTAAAGGCAAAGAATAAATGTTTAGGAGAAAATTAGAAAGTAAAGACAGGACAATAGAAATACTAGGCTATCTGGGAAAATGCTTTCTGTAGAAAGCCTCTTTCTTGAGATCTTTTGGGGTATTGCTGTTAATGCCCTTTGAGACATACAAGTGTTGTTGGTGAAATGTAGGTAATAGAAATAGAAATCTCACTTCTAGTTACTTTGAGCTCTGTCACTTGAGCTCTGTCCAAATGAAATTAAATCTGGAACTGAATCTTGCCCATGGATCAGTGATTCCTCATCCCTAACCAAGACGTCACTGATTTTTCTTCTAGAATTGGCTTGGAAATGAAATTGAGGTTATGGTCAGTACTGAGGAAGCCAAACGCCATCTAAATGACCTTCTTGAAGATAGAAAGATCCTAGCTCAGGATGTGGCTCAACTCAAAGAAAAAAAGGAATCTGGGGAGAATCCTCCTCTTAAACTCCGGGTAAGTGCCCTTAAGAAAAAAATGTTCTCAATAATCAGATTATGCATTCCCAAGAAATCCTCATGGCTTTGGAGAATTATTTTTCCTTTTAGAACTTCTCCCTCATACCTACTATTCTTCTTTACAGAGGCGCACATTTTCACTTGCTGAAACACGTGGTCAAGTTTCAGAGTCAGAGGATTCTATTACAAAGCAGATTGAAAGTCTGGAGACTGAAATGGAACTCAGGTAACAAGACTATCTCCAAGACATAAAAATTTATCCCTAGAATCAAAAATAAGAACCTATCAACCCAGAGATTCAAAAGCTTTGTGATGGTTGGAAAACAAGAGACAGTAACAGTACATTGAACCAGATGCTGTACTAGACATGATAGATAAATTTTCTCATTCAGTCCCTTGGATATCCTATGAGGTAAATATCATTCTTATCACTCTAGAAATCTAAAATGAAGTTCAAAGATCTTAAGAAATTTGCTAAAGATATTAATACTAGCATACAACAGAGCTAGGATTCAAAACCCTCTCTTATATAATTCCAAAGCCCATACTGTTTGCAGTACACTACAATTTTTGATGTAGTAGTATCTGAAATGTATAACTAAGAACAGAATTTTAGAGAAACCCCAGGAATTATCATAAAAGAGAAATAGCATAGGAGGAAAACAGCAAAATAGCTATACTGTATATAATGCATAAGTAAGGTTAGCATGAGCATTAAGTGAGATTAGTAAATAAAGTGTATGATACAGAATGTGGCATCTTAAAAGTACTCAATGAATATTCTCTTTATTCCCTCTTGAGTCGAAGACCAGAAATTATGCTACATAGCCTTTCCAATCAATCTTATTGTCTCTTAAGCAGTTTATGAAATCTGGAAGGAATACAGATTTTATAGTGTCTTAAAATACTAGAATTTTATGGGTTGGGTTGTGGCTCAGTAGTAGAGTGTTTACTCAGCATGTGTGAGTTACTGGGTTCAATCCCTAGTACCACATTATAAATAAATAAACAAAGTAAAGAAAATTTAGCTGGGTGTGGTTGCACATGTCTATAATTCCAGCAGCTCAGGAGGCTGAGGTAAGAGGATCACAAGTTCAAAGCAACTTAGCAAAGTTAAGCAAGTTAACTTAGCAACTTAGTGAAGCTCTAAGCAACTCAAAACAAAATATAAAAAAATAGCTGGGGATGTGGCTCAGGGGTTAAGTGCCCTAGGTTCAATCCCCAGTACAAAAAACAGGAAATGTTCTTGTCCAAAAGACTTTGGAGATCATTTATTTGATTTTAGCTAGATATACTAGTTGTTTATCTTTGGAAACATCTATAAGTCATTCAACAATTTGAGTTTCTGCTTTGGGCTACACTGGATGCAGTGTAGATGAATAGATGTAGATGTCAGAATAGATGACATTATCTTTGTTGTAAAGTAGAAATCATGTAATTACTCCCAGTCATGTGCTTGAATCATTTGTTAAGATTTCTGGAGGAGCTGGGATTGTGGCAGAGCACTTGCCTGGAATGTGTGAGGCACTGGATTTGATTGATCCTCAGCTCCACATATAAATAAATAAAAAATAAAGGTACATCAACAACTAAAAAATATTAAAAAATGATTTCTGGAATGTGGAAAATTCTTGATAGGTTATAATTTCTATGTTGAAGTCTATTTACACAACAGAAAGAGGCAGAAATTACAAATCAGGACTGTTTCTTTTTAAATGCTGGTTATAAAACATTTTCCTCCATATGCATAAGTAAATGATTATATAAATGTAGGGTAGGTATAACATAAAAGGAATTAGACAGAGGTGAGTTTAATCAAGGATATTTTCCTAAAGATGATGAGACTTAAACTAAATTTTGAAATAGATACGGGACATGAATTGACAAAGAAGACAAGGAAAGGAAGGTGTATGTAGATAATGACTGAAATGTTCTCCCCTACCAATTCCAGAAGCCTAGCCTGACTCTTCATCCTTCACTAGTCTTTTTCTCTAAACCCTTTCAGAACTTACAATACTCAGTTATGCAGTGAAAATGATATATCTTTGTGTTTAATATTTGTCTTATGTTTATTAGGTTTTTTTTCAATCTAAAGAGAGTTTGTGAATTTGTTGAAGGAAAGGACTTCGAGAATCAGGGTTTTCAAAGTGTGGTCTGAAGATCTCTCATACCCTTTTAGGGAATCTAAGTGGGCAAAACTATTTTCATAATAATAGTAAAGCATTATTTGCTATTTTTACCATGTTGATATTTGCACTAATAGTAGAAAAGCAATATGGCAAAAAAATTACTGATACCTTAGACTTAATGAAAGCATTGGCACCAATCTGAACAAGTAGTCGTTCTACACAGCACCTCTACACACTACCAGTTTAAATTTGTTTAAAAAGTCATTCTTACTTTAAGCATGACTTTTGATAAAATCAGGTAAAATTGTTAATTTTATCAAATCTTGACCCTTGAGTTTGCATCTTTTTAATTATCTATATAACAAAACAGGAAGCACTTCTGCTGCATGCTGATTGTGATAGTCATCTCAAGAAAAGCACTGAGCTATTTGAGGTTTGAGATCAATAGGCCTATTTTTCATGGCACATCATGTGTACTTGAAAGAACAACTGACAGACAAACCATGGTTATTCAGACTTGGTTACTTGGCAGAGATGCTCTCAATAATGAATGGAGGGAGCCTATCAGAAAAACAACTGACAGTATGTGTTACTGAAGATAAAATTTGAGCTTTTAAGCAAAACTTTTCTGGTAAGACCAGTAGTGATACTAACAAATGTGATGGTTTAAATATATTATATAATGAAACGTATTAACATTCAGAGGATCTGCATGACTCAGTGGATTAATATTGTCAAAATAACATGTTAAAGTAAATGGGTAAAATATCCATTCCTACTGAGAGATAGATTAATGGGATTTGTTTGTTTGTTTGGCCTACCAAAATATGATACTTTATTATAATTCATCTATATCCATTTACATTTCAAGCCATTCCAAACCAATTAACATCTATGTAAATACTGGCCTAAAATGAATAAATATTTTTTGCATTGATTGCTTATAATCTGCTTATTTGTTTCTGATTTTTGTCCTCAACAGCAGCACTGAGCCATGAAATCAAATTTCCTCTTAAATGTTGGAGTCTTCTCCAAAGACTCTAACTAGACTTTTGTCCCACACTGTCTCAAATAGGAATCTTTAATTTGGCTCTCACCACATGGAAACAGAACACAGGCATTGGCAACTTGATTGTGCTCTGGCCAGGCCAACTTAAACCCATCTCCACTTTCTTCTCTCCCACACCATTACTTGCTATAAAGTATCTGCTTCAGGCTTTCCCTGAAGACAATCAAAACTGTTCAAGGACAACCCAATCTTCAATTTTTTAACAATATGTATATTGTTTTCAAGTGCAAATTTTGTCCAAGGATATCTGCCCTGACTCTTGAGACTGACTATATCTAAATTTATATATGTTTAAACACACATTCCTATACATGTATGGAAATATTTTATGTCCTGGGAATTCACAAGAAAAAAAATAACTCATCATATAGATTTCTTTTGATACTGGACATTGATGATTTATTACTGAGCTACATCCCATCCTTTTTATATTTTACTTTGACATGGGATCTCACTAAATTGCTGAGACTGGCCTCAAATTTAAGATCCTCCTGCCTCAGCCTCCTAAGTCATTGGGATTACAGGTGTGTGCCACCATGCCCAGCTACCATATGGATTTTAATATATAAGAATATAAAAAATTAGTTAATAATAGTTTCACTTGATCAATGGATATTAAATTATAGTTAGATAGAAGCAAGAAGCTCTGGTGTACAATTGCACAGTAGGATGGCTTCAGGTAACAATAATGTACTATACATTTCAAAAAGCTGGAAGACAGGATTTTGAAAGATTTCACTATAAAAAATTACAGGTGTTTGAAGTAATAGTTATGTGTAACCTGAATTAATTATTATATAATATATGCATTATCATATCATCACATGGTACCCCATTAATATGTATAGATTTCATGTTTTATGTAGCAGCTGAAAATGAATTTAATTTTTAAAAATAAAAGTAAAATAATAATAGTTTTAGATTCCACTTGTAACTAACTTTTATGAAACTACTACTTGTATCCACAATTATCTGAAAAGGCTACCAAAATACATCTCCCTTTTCAAACTACATATCCATGTAAGGTTAGAGTGTCTCTATTTACATCAACTGGAACAACATGTCACAAAAGATTGAGTAGAGGGAGATGTGAAAATCCACTTGTCTTCTACTAAATTATACAGAGATCTGTGAAAATGGAAAATAATCTTACTCTTCTCACTAAATCTTGAAAAATACAGCTATTTCTCCTAAAATGTTTATATGTAATGATTTTTTAAATTTTAAGTGAATTTAATATTTAAATTCATCTCAGTTTGAATTTATACCATAAATAACTATAGGTGTATCCTATATGAACAGAATTTCTAGAAGTTCTCAATGTGTTTTTTTTTTTAATGAATGGGGTCTTGAGACCACCAAATATGAGAAAAACCATCTTAGATTACTTTTGTCCCATCTTCCTTATAGGAATCTAACATAGTATCACAAGTTAAGCACATGCTGGTATTCTCCCTCTCACTGGAAACAGCATATTTGAAAAGGAAGTTATTAATAAAACTGAAATATTATATAGAATTTCTTCTAGGCCATACTTGATTGGAAAGTATCTGGAATTTCTAACCAGGGTTAGGGTATCTAGTCATAGAAACTTCTCAGTCCTGTGGAAGGCATTTTAAAATAATCTCTCATTGTAGGAAATGATGGTGCATGCCTATAATCCTAGCAACTTTGGAGACTGAGGCAGGAAAATTGCAAGTTCAGGGCCAGCCTCAGCAACTTAGTGAGATGCTGTATCAAAATAAAAAATAAAAAGGACTAAGGATGTGGCTCAGTGGTAAAGTGCCCCCTGGTGCTCCCAGTACCAAAATAAACAATAATTTCCTATAATACCAGCCATGGGTATCAATTTGGTATTTGATTCCAGCAAAGAACACCTACCTATTCTTGTGAGATTTTCCTTCAGGTCTCCAACCTGAATCTCTTCCTTCCATGGGTGGACTATTGTTACATAGTCCAAATTTATAGGGCTTCATGACAAAGTCATAGTATTGAGTCAGTCAGTCTACTATAATACAGGCCTAACCATAATATATCTTTCCAAGTCTCAGTATATATGACCTATTTATTTCAACCAGTATTTAATAAAATAAAAACCATTTGGATAATCTCCTGGAGTCCATTTGTAACCAATTTTTAGGTACTATGTAAAATTCTAACCAGATGACTCAGTCATTATTTAACTGATATCTCCATTCATAAACCACTTTAAAGTTTCTACTCAGAGTTCTTATTCTTCCTGGTATTGAAGCTATTCACAACAAAACTGTTTCTGTTTGTGAAGGAGCGCTCAGATTGCTGACCTACAGCAGAAGCTACTGGATGCTGAAAGTGAAGACAGGCCAAAACAACGTTGGGAGAATATTGCTACAATTCTGGAAGCCAAGTGTGCCTTGAAATATTTAACTGGAGAGGTAACTATCACTCTTACTACCAACAATTAGGGATCTGGTTAGGTAGGTTCAAATAAAATACCTTGGAGCCAGGTGTGGTGGCACATGCCTGTAATCCCAGTGACTCATGAGGCTAAGGCATGAGGGTCACAAGTTGGAAGCCAGCTTCAGCAACTTAGCAAAGACCCTGTCTCAAAACTAATGAAAAGGGGGGCTGGGGTTGTGCCTCAGTGGTAGAGTGCTTGCCTAGCACATGTGAGGCACTGGGTTTAATCCTCAGCACCATATAAAAATGAAATAAAGATATTGTGTGTCCACCTACAACTAAAAAATAAATATTTTTTTAAAAACTAATAAAAGGGGGCTAGGAATATAGTTCAGTGTTAGAGCACCACTGGGTTCAATCCCTAGTACCACAAAAATGAAACAAACAAGATAGCTTTGGAATACTATCATCATGTCCTCGCCAGTTTGTTCTCTCCTCTCTTCTCTCTTCTCTCTTCTCTCTTCTCTCTTCTCTCTTCTCTCTTCTCTCTTCTCTCTTCTCCCTTCTCCCTTCTCCCTTCTCCCTTCTCCCTTCTCCCTTCTCCCTTCTCCCTTCTCCCTTCTCCCTTCTCCCTTCTCCCTTCCCTTCCCTCTCTCTCTCTCTCCAAGGGATTGAACCCAGGGGTGCTTAACCACTGAGCCACATCCCTAGCCCTTTTTATTTTTGAGACAGGGCTTCCCTAAGTTGATGAGGCTGGCTTTGAACTTATGATCCTCCTGCTCAGCCTCCCAAGCCACTGGGATTACAGGTATGCACCACTGTGCCAGCTTCTTGCCATTTTTCATGGAAAAATCCAGTGATACTAACATTAGAGAGTTTACTGCATAAAAATTGATATAAGCGGACTGGGGCTGTAGCTCAGTGGCAGAGTGCTTGCCTAGCATGTGTGAGGCCCTGTGTTCGATCCTCAACACCACACAAAAATAAATAAAATAAAGGTATTGTGTCCATCTACAACTTAAAAAAAAAATTTTTAAAGTTGATATAAGCAGGAGCTGGTGTTGTAGCTCAGTGGTAGAGCACTTGCCTGGCATGTGCAAGGCACTGGGTTTGATTCTCAGCACCATATATAAATAAGTGAACAAAATAAAGGCCCACCCAGCATCTAAATAAATTAATAAAATTGAAAAAAATTTTTAAAAAGTTGATATAAACAAGTAGAGGCCAGTCATTTACAAAAAATATCATATGACTCAAATTGATACTTATCATGCTTGGCATAAATCAAGTGCTCAATAAATGTTAACTGTTGCTCTTAGAAAAAGGCCAGAATGCCACAGTGGGCTACTGGCTAAACATAAACTATTATTATATTGTACTATTTGTTAAAAGACCTATGAGATGTATATTCAAAAACTTTAAGATACAGTCTTGAAAAGAGAAAACCTAAACATCTTTTGACATATAAAGATTCATTTTAAGGAAAAGCTATCTTCAGTGACCTTAAAATAATGCATCATCTTCCATTGTCACAAGAGGAGTGAAAACTAATAACCTCTAGTGATTGAGGCATTTTTCACTCAAGACAAGCACAAAATCCATCTGAGGGCTGGGGATGTGGCTCAAGCGGTAGCGCACTCACCTGACATGCGTGCGGCCTGGGTTCGATCCTCAGCACCACATACCAACAAAGATGTTGTGTCCGCCGAGAACTAAACAATAAAACATTAAAAATTCTCTCTCTCTCTCTCT